TTTCTGTTACATCATTCCATCTGAAAAATCAAAGACTCTTATCTTTAGCTTAGATGTAATATATTAATATGTACACCCAAAATAATTATAAAAAAAAAAAAAACCACTATTATAAATTTACGTACCTTTCAATGGCATCAGTGAAGAGGTGCAATTCATCAAGAGTTCCATAAACATCATATATATCATCAATTGTGCAAATTAAACAAATGAGTTTTGCATTTGTTCTTCTCCAGTTTGAAAACTTATTAGGGTTGGAGTTGGTAGCTATTGCCCAAAAGAAATTCTCTACCATACTATCTCTCACGAATGTTAACCTTTCTGTAATATAAGAATTCTCCCACCACCTGCATTCCAAGAAAATATATTATGTACTCACATGTCATTTTAAGTCATTTTTTTTTCGTCCTTACTGTCAGCATACTAAGTGGTAGGGGACTGACCAAATGGTTTGCTCCATTCACATGGGTGGGGATCGAATTCCCAATCTCATGCTTAATGGAGCACTGCTGGAAATTATGGAATTTTCGACCACCTGAAAGTGATCTTAGATCAAGTCGAAAGCAAAAAGTGGTCGGAAATAGCAACAAAAATTTTTTCGAATACCAAAAGTGGTCGGAACAAGGCTTTCGACTAAAATCACTTCAAGTGGTCGGAAATTCTATAATTTTCAGCAGTGGAGATGCTGAACCACCACGACAACCCTGCTGAACCCAAATTGATCACGCACGTACATACCTCGACACAAATCTCAAGTCCTCCTGATGCACAGCTTGAACCATGTTGAAGTCTAGTTTAGCCAACTCCAAAAGGATGGGATTCCAGGTTGTTTTGATACTTTTTCCTTTGTCATATGAATCAATGAAACATCTGGCTTCCGACCTCGGCATCCTCCAATGTAATGGGAGCTCCAACGCACGTTGCACTGATGCTAAAAGTCCCTGATTGTTGAGATTATTTTTCTCGTGGGCGACCCGTTTGAGATGTTTGGTTGAGAAATTTTTAGCTAATTCCAAACTTGTTTCACCTTCTAGGGACAGGAAAGATGCTTCGTATAAGTGAAGTAATCCCTTGATATCTTCGCAGAGGCTGGCATTAAAACCAGACCGGTCTCCATCCATAAAACAATCAAATATATCTGCATTCAAGTGTTCATGATGTTGTACATACACATTATATTATATATTAAGAAATTAGGATTTTTTTTTATTGTACATACCGATAATATCAAGTACAATTATATATCTTATACTTAAGGGTGGGCACTGGTAAATCTCATCTTGTGATCCTAGCCGGCAAATGATCAGTCTAGGTTGTCCATAGCTAATCGACTCAAATTAAAAAGGCCAAATGACACTCTCAGTGGGAGTCAAATGGGAAACGTTGTTAATCCTAGTCGGCAAAAGACCACAATAAGGAGGTAAACCAGTTTAGCTAGGTTACCGTTAGCTAACCGACTGAAATCAAAATGACTAATTGGCTACTCCCATGGAGTGTCGAACTTAAAACCTTGGATAAATCCCGCCTTGTGCGTTTAGACAGCAAAGGAGGACCACAAAGAGATAAACCAATTAATTTAGACTACCATATATAGCTAACTGGTTCAAACCTCATCACTGCAATTGCAGCTAAGAAATAAATAAAGAAAAAAATAATATATACATAATTGTACTTGACACCATTAACATGTATATTGTAATAACCTTGAGAGATGTTATAGCCATTTTGTCTGAGCAATCTAAACTCAAGAGCTGTGGCATATAAGTCTTTCTCCTCGGAGTAACTTTTACTATTCTTCTTCATATAGATATCCATCAAAGCTGCCATGATTTCATCCTCAAAATGGTAAGAACAACCAAGCCTCTGCAGTTCATCAATCATCTCCATTTTCTCCAATTCTTTCATCTCTTCATTGTTCATCATCAGCATATTCCTAACTCTCTCTTTCAACTCGTCACGCCGTGTAACAAATTGCTTCTAAGAATATTAAGCGATTGTAATTAAATAGATAAACATAATAATTAAGGAAAAATGATAAAAATTAAATAAAATAAGTTACATTATAAGTAGTGTTGAGAGATTGAATATAAGTGAAATCCCATGCGGAAGGGCCATAGTTTCCAGATCTTCTTCTTGTTGTTGTGGTGGTGTGATAACACATGCGAAAGGAAGAGGAATAAGAAGTTGGAAGGGAAGGAAGTTTGAATGTGAAAGTAGAAAGTACACTGACAATTGTAGCCATTATTGAATAATAATAAAATTTCTTAATTTCCTTTTAATTTGTTTCCTTTTTGTGTGTGTGGAATTCTGAGAGTTGGGTGGATAGCTTTTATAGAGACCCCACCCAGGATGTGTTTGGTTAGCATAATGAAAATCAAGTAGCTGATGTTTGGTCATCACTAACTTTATAATAGGAATAAAGGTTTTAAAAATAACAATAAAAAAATTAAGGTAATTGGTCCTAACATAATGACATCGAAAGTATTAATATGAACAAAAAAATCAAAACAAAAATCTAAAAGTACTGATTCAAACTTAAAAATCATATATTACTAATAAGATGGAATGACCTTTCAAAAAAAAAAAGATGGAATGATACCCATTTTTAATTAGGGAATGAAGTTTTAATTGAAGGGGTAATCAAATCTCATAATTAAAAAAAAAAAAAAATCTCATAATTATATTTTAAAAAATTGCAATCAAACACTAAATATAATTTTGATTCTCATTCCTAGTCTATAAACCTATGAATCAAATTAAACATACCCATAATTTTCATGAACAGTACTATATATCAAGTCATTATATCATGGTCCACCATGGGTAAGGTAAACTTGGTTCAGATTACATGAGTTGTGATATCATGGATGGATAGGTCAAGGTGGACCCTGATCCTAAACAGTGTATAAATTGTGTATTTTACTATTGAAATTGTGAACTCTTAGAATATAAATTGTGTTTCTAAGTCAAAACACATAACAACTGTAGAACAAAATTTGTGAATATAATATAGGGTCATCAAATCCTAATCAGTTAATATTGTGTGATTGCAGTATTTGAAATGAACTTGTTAATACAAAACAAGATAATCAATTACATATATGTTAACATTGTGTGTTCGTAGTATACAAATTATGAATTATTAAAAGGTAATTGTGAACATTTGGACCCAGGTCCATAGAATAATTTGCGAGATTATATATTTACAATTAACGTATTATATACATGCATGTACGTCCAATTTATTTAACTAAAAATATAATATATTAATTGCAGATACATAATTTGGATCATGGTCACAATATAATTTGTCACTTTATATTTATGTTTACCAACAATAACATAGTAGAGTTCTGACTTTATACAACATAAAAAGACTTAATAATTACGATGTGCTTGGCTGGTGAAAAAGAACGGAGAATGAATTGAATTGAATTTAAATTTTATATAAAAGAAATTACTTAGGAATATTGGTTCATTGTTTAGTGGATGGAAAATAAGCTGTTAGTAATAATTTAGAAGAACCCACATAATAAAGATATACAAGGATAATAATATATATATGAATTCATGTATCTTTACTCCTAAAATATAATGTGTGTGAAAAATAAAATACCAAAGGAAAACAAATAATTTATTTTGTTCAAATTTGAATGTCAGGACTCAGGATCAAGTGTTTACCACTAGCGAATGCACAACTTTATTTTCTTATACTTGTGTAGCAGTCAACGTCATATTTTGATTACTGGATGTTAAAAAAAATTATCCCAAAAAAATATTTTCAGATTCGGTCAATCATATCAAACATGAGAAACTTGCAACCGCTCTCCAGAATGTACACGGGATAAATCCGTCCATATGCATAACTCACAAATCATACAGAAAAAATAATTACATTAGAAAGATTCTATGTGACGAGCTGATCGAGAGGGTGGCTGCAATTTATTTCTCTTCATTTGTTCATATAATTGAGTAAAATTTTAATGAATGCAAGATTAGTGATGTGAACCAGTTGCCAGATAAACTTAGAATCGTGTGGCAATAAGAAATTTAATGACCTATTAATTACGTGATTATGTGGTCGAAATTTAAAGTACAAAGACTACGTGTTAGAAATTAATACCACAATTATTCCTCACCATCCTGCTTTCATATATAGTACTGTAACCAATGTTGCAAAAATCGCGCCTAGGCGCTAGGCCGTCGGCCTTCTAGGCCCTCTAGGCGCCCGCCTAAACGCCCTAGGCAGTCCCCAGACGTCTAGATGATGACTAGCGATTTTTTCAACGTTGATTGTAACCTATTGAAGTATCCCGTTTGGCCGTTTCCCACAAGTAATAAAAACAAACAAACAAATAAAGACGTGTTCCTTAGCTTGCCTTTACTAACAAGTTAAATTTTCAATTTCAAGGGTCCCTATGCTCAATGACGGACCTAGAAATTTTGTTCAGTGGAGGCGAATGTGGGAATAAAAGAATTTGTTCAGATGACACCTATGTGACTCTCCTTGAGGGCAGGTCATAGGACTGAACTTTGATGGTGGGATAATATTGATTTTTGGGCTACCAGTATTTTAGAGAAAATATAGAACAGATACTACTTGTAATAGAGTCAATTGTATTCAAAAAAAAAAAAAATTGCTAATATTTTTTCTCACGCCCCGACCCCTTGTAATAGAGTCAAAATTAAGTATTCAAAAAAAAATTGCTAATAATTTTTTCCACGCCCCGGCCAACAGAGCATTTGGGACTTGGGAAGGTGTAAATCATGGTGACGACTTAATGGTTCAACAGATAGGGCCAAATGCAGGTGTGCATAATGAATCTGTCCACTTTAGGCATAATTTTCACACTGCCTCTGCCAAAGTTCGAACCTTGATCTATTCTCCTTGCCGACTGAACCAGTGAGTTAAGCCTGTGCAGGCAACAACGAATCTCCTAATCTAACTTAATTTGAAGTGAAAATACACCAATACAAACCTTACATTAAAACAGAGTGAATAAGATAATACGGAGTAACATTTTTCCAAGATTTTAATTTCTCAACAACAATCCATTACATATATTGCACAAACATTTTCATGGCTATATTATTAGAGGAATACAATTGGTTCAAACAATGTAGCCTGGATGAGGGTTTGAGTCTCCAAGTTCTTGGTCCCATGGCCATCTCCATGTTGATACATGCAATGAGACACTCTGGCAAGATTCATTGCAACTTCAATGAATGTTTCAGAGAAAGGGCAATTATCTTTAACTCGAGCTTTATTCAATTTCTTCCATGTCTCATTGATATGAAAATCCACAAAATCACAAGCATCGTCCATAGAGACCCTAGCCTCATTCATGTAACATTGTATCGCTTTCGGTACATCGCCCCGTTCCATTTCATACTAAAATATTTTAAAGAAAATAACAAGTAAAGAACTTGGATGTATAATTTTAGAGGTGTCAAACAGACGGGTTAGTCCAGATTTGACCTATTTTAGTCGGTTCAACCCGTCTCAGTTTATTTGCTACAATAGGGAGACCCCATTTTATACTACGGACAGAGCTGAACTTTAATTTTTTTTTTTTCCCACCCATGGACAGGCTTGGCACAATCTTCCTCGTTAACCTATACATTTGTTAAAAGATATACTCCGTAATATACCAATCATTATTGCATAGACCATGGTCCACACAATTGTACATATGGACCATAAATAAAAAATACATTTTTAATATACTAAGGGTACATTATTTATGTACGTAAGGTACACTTTTGAAAGTACATTTTTAATATACTAAGGGTACATTATTTTATATAATGTAGCTTCAAACAAAAATAATGTACCTCCAGTGCAAAAATTATGTACTTTTAATATATTAAAAACATACCTGATATTCATCGTCCATACAATTGTGTGAACCATGGTCCATGCAATAATTTGCGGCAATTTAATCACATTGAGCTAACCTGGTCCAACAAATAAACGGGCCAATACCAATCCAGCCTAAGCCCAAATTTAATCGGTGCGAGCTAACCTGACCCAAAAAACAATCGTTATGCTGTGAAACTGTGTCCACCTTGCAAAGTGGACACGGTTCTATGTTTATAATTACTGAACTATATATTCATAATTATGGAACTCTATATTCATAATTACCGAACTATATATTCATAATTATTGAATCTCTATATTCATAATTACAAAACTATATGTTCATAATTATATAACTATATGTTTATAATTTTTAAAACTATACATTTATAATTATGAACAGTTTTGGAACCGCAAGATGGACACGGTTCCACATCATAATTTGCCCCCAAAAAATAAACAATCAAGCCAATACAAGGCCGTGTCGGGCCAAGCCGGGCTGTTTGACACCTCTCTCTCTCTCTCTCTCTATATATATATATATATATATATATATATATATATATATATATATATATATGAATGAATATAAAAGAAGTTGAACGTTATCCATACGTACAGGTGAGGTTCCTTTATCATCTGTAAGACGCACAATCATAGATGACAGACGAATTATTTCATGATATTCTGTCATCAAGCAATGCCGGGCAGCAGCCTCGTCCAGAGGGTGGTTCACAAAGAAAAAAGCATGCACTAATATTAGAGGACAGCTTATTGAAATCCATGAATTTTCAATGTATTCTTCAAAGGTTGGGGTGTATCCACCGTGGTACCACTTTGCCTCTTGTAAGTATGCTTTGCATAGATCCGCCCACTGATAATATACTCAAAACACTACTGGAAATTATGGAATTTCTGACCACCTAAAAGTGATTTTAAATCAAGTTGAAAGTAAAAAGTTGTCGGAAATAGCAACCAAAAGTGGTCGGAACAAAGCTTTCGACTTGATTTAAGATTTAGGTGGTCGGAAATTTCATAATTTCCAGTATTGAAATATATGCATATATTATTGTTAATTAATTGGTTTATTAAAATTAAATCAATGATTATATTTTTGAAGATGATTGAAAATACCGATTTTCTGAGATAATGTAAGATAAAGATGTCATGTTCTTTAAGAACATCATATGCAACTTCGTTTATGAAGTTGTAGAGTGCCAGATAGCAGAATCTCATGTACTTTGGGAGGTGCTCTATTTCTGTTACATCATTCCATCTGAAAAATCAAAGACTCTTATCTTTAGCTTAGATGTAATATATTAATATGTACACCCAAAATAATTATAAAAAAAAAAAAAACCACTATTATAAATTTACGTACCTTTCAATGGCATCAGTGAAGAGGTGCAATTCATCAAGAGTTCCATAAACATCATATATATCATCAATTGTGCAAATTAAACAAATGAGTTTTGCATTTGTTCTTCTCCAGTTTGAAAACTTATTAGGGTTGGAGTTGGTAGCTATTGCCCAAAAGAAATTCTCTACCATACTATCTCTCACGAATGTTAACCTTTCTGTAATATAAGAATTCTCCCACCACCTGCATTCCAAGAAAATATATTATGTACTCACATGTCATTTTAAGTCATTTTTTTTTTCGTCCTTACTGTCAGCATACTAAGTGGTAGGGGACTGACCAAATGGTTTGCTCCATTCACATGGGTGGGGATCGAATTCCCAATCTCATGCTTAATGGAGCACTGCTGGAAATTATGGAATTTTCGACCACCTGAAAGTGATCTTAGATCAAGTCGAAAGCAAAAAGTGGTCGGAAATAGCAACAAAAATTTTTTCGAATACCAAAAGTGGTCGGAACAAGGCTTTCGACTAAAATCACTTCAAGTGGTCGGAAATTCTATAATTTTCAGCAGTGGAGATGCTGAACCACCACGACAACCCTGCTGAACCCAAATTGATCACGCACGTACATACCTCGACACAAATCTCAAGTCCTCCTGATGCACAGCTTGAACCATGTTGAAGTCTAGTTTAGCCAACTCCAAAAGGATGGGATTCCAGGTTGTTTTGATACTTTTTCCTTTGTCATATGAATCAATGAAACATCTGGCTTCCGACCTCGGCATCCTCCAATGTAATGGGAGCTCCAACGCACGTTGCACTGATGCTAAAAGTCCCTGATTGTTGAGATTATTTTTCTCGTGGCGACCCGTTTGAGATGTTTGGTTGAGAAATTTTTAGCTAATTCCAAACTTGTTTCACCTTCTAGGGACAGGAAAGATGCTTCGTATAAGTGAAGTAATCCCTTGATATCTTCGCAGAGGCTGGCATTAAAACCAGACCGGTCTCCATCCATAAAACAATCAAATATATCTGCATTCAAGTGTTCATGATGTTGTACATACACATTATATTATATATTAAGAAATTAGGATTTTTTTTTATTGTACATACCGATAATATCAAGTACAATTATATATCTTATACTTAAGGGTGGGCACTGGTAAATCTCATCTTGTGATCCTAGCCGGCAAATGATCAGTCTAGGTTGTCCATAGCTAATCGACTCAAATTAAAAAGGCCAAATGACACTCTCAGTGGGAGTCAAATGGGAAACGTTGTTAATCCTAGTCGGCAAAAGACCACAATAAGGAGGTAAACCAGTTTAGCTAGGTTACCGTTAGCTAACCGACTGAAATCAAAATGACTAATTGGCTACTCCCATGGAGTGTCGAACTTAAAACCTTGGATAAATCCCGCCTTGTGCGTTTAGACAGCAAAGGAGGACCACAAAGAGATAAACCAATTAATTTAGACTACCATATATAGCTAACTGGTTCAAACCTCATCACTGCAATTGCAGCTAAGAAATAAATAAAGAAAAAAATAATATATACATAATTGTACTTGACACCATTAACATGTATATTGTAATAACCTTGAGAGATGTTATAGCCATTTTGTCTGAGCAATCTAAACTCAAGAGCTGTGGCATATAAGTCTTTCTCCTCGGAGTAACTTTTACTATTCTTCTTCATATAGATATCCATCAAAGCTGCCATGATTTCATCCTCAAAATGGTAAGAACAACCAAGCCTCTGCAGTTCATCAATCATCTCCATTTTCTCCAATTCTTTCATCTCTTCATTGTTCATCATCAGCATATTCCTAACTCTCTCTTTCAACTCGTCACGCCGTGTAACAAATTGCTTCTAAGAATATTAAGCGATTGTAATTAAATAGATAAACATAATAATTAAGGAAAAATGATAAAAATTAAATAAAATAAGTTACATTATAAGTAGTGTTGAGAGATTGAATATAAGTGAAATCCCATGCGGAAGGGCCATAGTTTCCAGATCTTCTTCTTGTTGTTGTGGTGGTGTGATAACACATGCGAAAGGAAGAGGAATAAGAAGTTGGAAGGGAAGGAAGTTTGAATGTGAAAGTAGAAAGTACACTGACAATTGTAGCCATTATTGAATAATAATAAAATTTCTTAATTTCCTTTTAATTTGTTTCCTTTTTGTGTGTGTGGAATTCTGAGAGTTGGGTGGATAGCTTTTATAGAGACCCCACCCAGGATGTGTTTGGTTAGCATAATGAAAATCAAGTAGCTGATGTTTGGTCATCACTAACTTTATAATAGGAATAAAGGTTTTAAAAATAACAATAAAAAAATTAAGGTAATTGGTCCTAACATAATGACATCGAAAGTATTAATATGAACAAAAAAATCAAAACAAAAATCTAAAAGTACTGATTCAAACTTAAAAATCATATATTACTAATAAGATGGAATGACCTTTCAAAAAAAAAAAGATGGAATGATACCCATTTTTAATTAGGGAATGAAGTTTTAATTGAAGGGGTAATCAAATCTCATAATTAAAAAAAAAAAAAAATCTCATAATTATATTTTAAAAAATTGCAATCAAACACTAAATATAATTTTGATTCTCATTCCTAGTCTATAAACCTATGAATCAAATTAAACATACCCATAATTTTCATGAACAGTACTATATATCAAGTCATTATATCATGGTCCACCATGGGTAAGGTAAACTTGGTTCAGATTACATGAGTTGTGATATCATGGATGGATAGGTCAAGGTGGACCCTGATCCTAAACAGTGTATAAATTGTGTATTTTACTATTGAAATTGTGAACTCTTAGAATATAAATTGTGTTTCTAAGTCAAAACACATAACAACTGTAGAACAAAATTTGTGAATATAATATAGGGTCATCAAATCCTAATCAGTTAATATTGTGTGATTGCAGTATTTGAAATGAACTTGTTAATACAAAACAAGATAATCAATTACATATATGTTAACATTGTGTGTTCGTAGTATACAAATTATGAATTATTAAAAGGTAATTGTGAACATTTGGACCCAGGTCCATAGAATAATTTGCGAGATTATATATTTACAATTAACGTATTATATACATGCATGTACGTCCAATTTATTTAACTAAAAATATAATATATTAATTGCAGATACATAATTTGGATCATGGTCACAATATAATTTGTCACTTTATATTTATGTTTACCAACAATAACATAGTAGAGTTCTGACTTTATACAACATAAAAAGACTTAATAATTACGATGTGCTTGGCTGGTGAAAAAGAACGGAGAATGAATTGAATTGAATTTAAATTTTATATAAAAGAAATTACTTAGGAATATTGGTTCATTGTTTAGTGGATGGAAAATAAGCTGTTAGTAATAATTTAGAAGAACCCACATAATAAAGATATACAAGGATAATAATATATATATGAATTCATGTATCTTTACTCCTAAAATATAATGTGTGTGAAAAATAAAATACCAAAGGAAAACAAATAATTTATTTTGTTCAAATTTGAATGTCAGGACTCAGGATCAAGTGTTTACCACTAGCGAATGCACAACTTTATTTTCTTATACTTGTGTAGCAGTCAACGTCATATTTTGATTACTGGATGTTAAAAAAAATTATCCCAAAAAAATATTTTCAGATTCGGTCAATCATATCAAACATGAGAAACTTGCAACCGCTCTCCAGAATGTACACGGGATAAATCCGTCCATATGCATAACTCACAAATCATACAGAAAAAATAATTACATTAGAAAGATTCTATGTGACGAGCTGATCGAGAGGGTGGCTGCAATTTATTTCTCTTCATTTGTTCATATAATTGAGTAAAATTTTAATGAATGCAAGATTAGTGATGTGAACCAGTTGCCAGATAAACTTAGAATCGTGTGGCAATAAGAAATTTAATGACCTATTAATTACGTGATTATGTGGTCGAAATTTAAAGTACAAAGACTACGTGTTAGAAATTAATACCACAATTATTCCTCACCATCCTGCTTTCATATATAGTACTGTAACCAATGTTGCAAAAATCGCGCCTAGGCGCTAGGCCGTCGGCCTTCTAGGCCCTCTAGGCGCCCGCCTAAACGCCCTAGGCAGTCCCCAGACGTCTAGATGATGACTAGCGATTTTTTCAACGTTGATTGTAACCTATTGAAGTATCCCGTTTGGCCGTTTCCCACAAGTAATAAAAACAAACAAACAAATAAAGACGTGTTCCTTAGCTTGCCTTTACTAACAAGTTAAATTTTCAATTTCAAGGGTCCCTATGCTCAATGACGGACCTAGAAATTTTGTTCAGTGGAGGCGAAAACATTAAAGTAAAAGAGATAATTTGAAAAACAATAAAACACTTAAGACATATAGTCATAAATATTGTCGGATATAAGTGAAAAATAAAATACATCAAAACTTTATAAAAATATTCATAACAAAATATGAAATATAATTAATTTAATAAAATAATTCAAATAAAAATACATTATAAATTACACATGTCATTATTAATATAAAAAAGAGTTTATATATATATATATATATATATATATATATATATATATATATATATATATATAGAAAATGTCATAAAGGAGCTATATGAATTGAAAGTCAAAAAGTCATAACCTTTCAGAGAATTACACAAGCATCTACCAACTGGACTAGCCAATCTATGGTGCAAAATCATTCGTTTTCATATAGATATATCTAAAACGTGTACTATACCTACATATACATACATACATACTACATATACACACACACATACACACTTACAAGGGCTAGGGGTGGGGTGAGTGGGGGCAGCTGTCCCTACTGGCCCCATGCTGGGTCCGCCTCTGCCCACCCTCCCGTCTAACATAGAATTTGATAAGATATAAATCACAGTAATTTAGTGGTTCAGTAAACAAGGCCAAATGTTAGTGTGCACAAAGGATCTGCACAATTTAAACATAATTTCTACACTCTATTACTAAAGAGTTAATTTCGAACCTATTTTCCTGTATATACCCTCTATTATATTATATATTTTCTTCCCTTAAATAACCATACATTTCGTTAGTATAAACTTTAGTAACGAAATATTCTATTAACTATTTATTATTATTAACTTACTCATTAATTTTTATAAGAAAGGTCTGTTCGAACTCATCACAATCAAAGTTGGCATAATTGTTAAACATATACTACGAATATATG